TGTTTAGCGGATCAAATATCTGAAGAAGGCCATGAGTTTATCATTCGATCACCGGGCTATCAGATCAGTATCTAGCAGCCTTTATATGGTTAAAGTTTCCCTGATTATTATCACAAGGTCAAACACAGTTGTCGACATGACTGAGCCTATATCCAGGATTACGATCGTTGTCAGTGAACATAGCAACCCGCAATCAAGAATAATCATCGTTTTTCAATACTTACGGTAATTGATGTGAGTCATATCACACAAATGGGCAGTCATAATGAATGGTACGTGTGGCACGTGACACCAGACTCTGAAAAACGAATGATCGCATGTTAGGAAATAAGTGTATGGCTGTTACATTACCAAAAGAATGAATTCCCGTCAAGAATCACGCCTGTCTATTTCTACTTGGTATCATTTCTGGACATCTTTCATCTATATACTATAACTTTGCTACATTGAAGATATAACCTGAGACATTTATTCAGGATTTTTTTTTCAAGAGCCATCAATGCGATCGGACGCAGCTAAAATGTATGGCAAGATCGCGAGACGGCTCAGGTGATTGAAAGATTACAAACGCAATCATCTGTTACTATTTTTTGGGTCAAAACTATATCGACCAAATTTCGATGACTTATATAGAGCACCTTATCACACAGTAACATCATGTTACATTTCATTTTAAGATTCCTGACTGTGTATAACTGGTCAAAATCGACATTGCCAAAAGCAACAATCAAAACCTTCTACCGATTATTACACGACATTAGAAAAGTTTTGTACACGTAATTAAATTAATTCCTCCATTGCCTCGATATCTGAGAGCAGCGCTTATTCAATGTTGTAAGAATTTTTGAGATGCTACAAATTTACATCGATGTAAAAATTATCACGAACATCTTGTAGTAAGCATAGTGAGTTTTAAGCGTGAAAAATCGGATTGTAACGGTATATGACAATGGCGAGATTGGCGGTCCGTCACTATCGTGGTAAAATCCTGCAGGCACTGATATTTGGAACGTTCAACGATTTATAATTGTTTATGTGTTGCTGGAGATAGCGCTATAAATTTCCTTCGCGTCATGTAAAACAAATGAATGCTCTGTACTTTAATAGCTTACGAGTGCTCCATTTATTATTTAGGTGCCACCGGAGTCGAATGAAATGGAAATGTTGTAGGGGAAGACAGCGTCAAGTTGCGTGCACATGGTGATGTTTTAGAATTTCTGAAAGATGATTACCTTAGACGACTTGATGCCTCAATATTAGTAGATTATGATGTACGATGCTGTCCACTGCTCCACCACGAAGGCATTCAACACATTTTAAAAGTTAATCCGCGGCCTTCAGACGTTCAGACCGCTTAATGCTCATAAAATACATGTAAGAACTATGTGATACGCGAAACGGGGCAGCGTCCCTTACATATTTAGCTTGGATATTTTAAAATTTACGGGGAAAATGTAAATTTCACTCTCGGTAGCCTGCGTGCCACCAACAAACTACGTTTCTTTTGCTGGTGGAACCAGCATCCCACCTACAGCACACATTCTGAGGTGCGAATTAGAAGGGCAGCCACCCATTGGATGGTTGCTCGTCACTTCTATCAACCTATCTTCGGCGACCTATTATTATATTACCACCTCGGGTATCAATTTATCTATCCCTCAGTCCCAATTTAGTGGTGTATTAAAACACACCTGCGATCGACTTATATATTTATTCAAATAGACAGGAATTGGACTGAATAATATTAGGAACCATGGTGGTTTCGCAATTTTTCATACCAAGATGCTATATAGGATGTTGTAGCTTCGATTCATGATTAATACGGTCCCCTTTGAATGGTATATTACATTTCAGATTTTGCGCAAATTTGCACTTGCCACTGTCGGTACCTCTAATGCATACTTAAAAGCCCGTCCACGCACGTGTTTTTAACTTAAGCTGGGTGCTTGTGCCCAATCGCTTGCTATCCACATAAACCAACCAATAAGAGCACATATAAATTGTTCAACTGTTGATGGATGTACATATAAACGTACTTAATAATGGAGATGTGGTGAATCCGACTGACCCGATTGGAACTTGCAAATCCATACGATACTGTAAACTGCATCTAAAGTTAACTTCATAATCACGGCCTGCCAAAAACCAGTTCTCTTTCATCTATACCTATTCTGCAGTGGACCTAATCTGGTTCGTTGGTTTCCCCTCGAAACGCTGCGAATATAACAATTCCGCTGTATTATTAAATAATCGCTTCACGCAATAAATAGCGCAAATTTAGACTATCTTCTTCTACTTTCAAGTACCGCTTGTTTCATTTTTTTACATTCGCCATTATATACTCGTGCGCTTAGTGACAGTTCCGGGGCGACTAATATAGGAACACGCTCCTGCTTCCTCTATTCCATTCGGTGGGGAGCCGAGCGTGGCGTTTAGTGCTTTATCACCTTCTGCACCTACGAAGTTCATTGTATTTAGTCTAACATAGGTCATTTTACCCCCTAAATTTAAGAAGGTATGGCACAACAACGTATCAACTCGACTTTAACGCTTGTTGTCCATAAGATGTCCAACCTTTGGTGTGCCGACGAAACAGTCATGTTAGATCAGAATTTGCGCCGTCTCGATGTCGCGAAGCAGACATTTTTAATACTTCTCTGAGATTGATGAACATTCCAGCGCGAGAATTCGGATTTACTTCAGTCTTTGCTTTTTTAATAACAGGATGTACTCCCGGTACTCAACACGATCATTTATTTTAAGCTTCGCTTTGACTTGCATACGATATTAAACGGCGTCTGGTGCGTCGTTATTGGCACTGGGTATGGCTTTTACGCCGTCCTCGTCTCCACCACCACATCCACCCAGAAGTGTCGTCGAGCTTAGTGTGATGCAGCAAGCTAATTGTGATTGCGGTGATGATCCTGATGGTGCAATGTTTTATTGGCAGCCTGGTGGGCGTGTATAACCGTGAATTGCTGCTTGATAATTTGGCCATCATAGAAGGTATCGAGGTAACTCCTAGCGAGTTTTGGCGCTCTATCATGGCAGAGAACTTATTATTCTCGTCAAACTGAGTTTTGATCATGGAAGCTCCTAATGGCGTCTTTTCTATTTTACCTTATTAAGATAACAACCCTTCATGCACCCTATCGCTTCGTCTACAATAAGGAGCAATTAACTGCTGATCACAATCCAATCTTCTTTCAATGAACCATACACAAGTAATTTAGAGAAGCTCGAACGTTTCGCATCCGCGCTTGTCACGGTAGCCTGTAGAAAGGTACTAGATTACCTTTCACGGTCGTTTATCGTGATAGATAAATGAATTACTCATTTTAAATGGAGCCTTCCCATCCCTGAACACGTCATTAGTATCCACGTCATAAAGAAAGCTTATTAGAGCATAACCCATACGCGCATGCAGGTTGACAAATTGAGTGTTTGTAGCCGGGTTCCCGACATTTTTCGTATTGAGATTTGTTGTAACTAAGCGAGATGTGAAAAGAAAACGAAGCGAGGACCCGGAAAGAACGCAGTAGAAGACACCTATTCTATTGAGATGGAATTTAAAAGTAATTTTTTGGAGCTTGTTTTACCCGCACATGGATGAAGGAGTTGTCAGATTCACTCCCTTTTGTTTCGTTAAGTAAACGCTAGATACGATCACTTCTGAATGATTAGATTGTGTGTAAAATGTAACCGTTCAGCATACCGTATAATGTGGTACATCCTGCTGAAACGAGCAGTTACGATAGTGCATACACCTCAAGATCGTACTTGGTACGACAGTCAACCGCAAATCTCTCATCTCTCTCAGGATCTTGCACTAGGACACGTTCGGTAACACACCTCATCATTCTGCACTGGCGGTACTTGTGACACAAATATACCCACCGTTTCTAAGATGAATCCCTTTTTTGTTAAAAGTGAGGTAGATATCACAGCGGCTCTAAATTATTGTGAAGGGTTGACGATCTTTTTTTTTCTTAATCCTTAATGTATGACTAAATTACAAGCGGAACTCATTTTCACGTAAACGCGCACAATGTCGTTTTAGACGCTTAAATGTGTCGATAAGAAGAAGACTAGAAAGTACAGTATCGCGCGGTGTTTATGATTACAGTGAATCATAATAATAGCCACACGATACTATACTGTGATACACATTTTACGGCTCATTTATCCGTCGTGTGACACCTATGTCGCTGTTTTCTGCTGTTCTGTAAATGTACATACATGCTTATTATCGTCTTCATTGTCACTAACTCTGTCATTTTCGTCTTCTTCAAATTCCTCTCTTAATTCCGTATTCTTGTTAAGTTGAACTTTTCTACTAAACGTTAAATGTGATTTGAAGCTGCGCGTGACCGTTTTGCCTTTTTTCGATAATTGTAGGAGAGTTTTCTCTTAAGGGTGTGGAATTGTGTCCTTACAGAATACATTCCATAGATCGGATAGTAAATATTGCATACAATCACTAGACGTAGACGTAGATAATTTCGTACCCATATCCGTAAAATTATAGGCAAAAAGTGTGCGCAGATCATTGCCGCCATCTTGTCTCCCCATGGAATTGCCCTGCCTTAAGGTAAAGACGATCGGTGGGGCCCGATTGGCCACTGGACGATTCCACATAGCCTTAACAATTTTTCGACCTGGGTAAGGGGACGCTATAGGAACAAGTGTACTTAGCACTAAATATTGACCAATGGCAACCTTTTTCTTCACATGTATACTTAAAGAAAGACAAAGGGAGTAAATCGAATCAAAAAGGTTGTGAGATAAAAAATTCCTTGATTCAAAGGTATTCAACGTTCTGTGAATCATGTGCTATTGTCCGCATAATAATTTAAAGTGGCCATCTATAGATTAAGTAGTTTTCCTATTGATACACATTTAATTAACTCGAAGTTAATCATCGTCGAAAGAAATATGTAGCAAGAACTTACCCTTGCAGATCGGATTGTACGGGTACTCTATAACTCTTTCCCTAAATCCTAACACGCACGGTCAACGAGAGCTGTCGTCAGGTCCTTGTGGTGTGGTCCGAGAAGTCCTTTGGTCATGATGTCCGCCAAGATCACCGTCGTTTCGCAGCACTCAAGCTTGACATCACCGCGCTTGACTTCATCACGGATGTGATAATATTTTATGTCAATGCGCTTGGCACGGCCGTGGTTGACAGGAATCTTCGTCATCTTGATGCACGATTGATTACCTTCATCGATCATGAGCTCAGGTCCTTCCTCGCTAGCAGCCGTCATGATCTCACACCGCAAGCAATGGATCCACTTGCCTTCCTGGATATCCAACCTTACCAACCTAGCGCGATGTACTCCGCCTCGCGGAGTAGAGAGCGACACGCTTGGCTGATTCCCAATGCCCCAGATCACGGGTGCGTCTAAAAGCATTAGCACGTGGCTCGACGTCGACTTGCAGTCTGCAAGATCACTGGACCAATCGGCATCCTAATAGCCACGGAAGCCGATCTTCGCACTTGGCTTGTAGCAAATTCCAAGCGTATTGGTGCTTTGCATATAGCAAACTTAGCTAAAAAATTGCTTGAGCCAAACTCAGTGTTCTTCTTGGCGAATCTCCATCAACTGCGATACGTAACTCACAGCGTAGGCAACGTCCAGTCGTGTCACAGTCGTCTGGAGCTTTAAAGTGTCCACTGCTTTGATAAATGGTAGGTCAACCTTGGTGTCCACATTGCTGGAAACATTCGAGAGCTCACGTCCAAAGGACTTGTCACATCCTTGCATTAATTCATACTAAAGCGTTTGAGAACGTTTTCGACCAAACGGAGCTGACGCATAGTCATGCTGCCATATCTAACGTCCGAAAGCTCAACTTTAAGCACAAATGCACAATTGCCACTGTAAACCATCTTGAAGCGTCACGTGAGATCGTTCTTGCTATGCGCAATCAGTTCAGGCGAGCTTTTAAACACCAGCACGTCTTCAAAGTAGACCAGTAAAAACACGCAACGTCCTTCCTTGGTCATGATGAGAAGACATGTATCGAATCACGATGCTTTGACAACGATCGAAGCGTATGAAGTCATCAAAAGCTTCGTCCCTTCAAGCAAGGCTTGCTTACGACCGTGATTGCCTTGGCCAACTTATAAAATTCGAAGTCACCGTCCATTCTAAAGCCTTCTGGAACGACACAGAATGTCTTCTCCTTCATCACTCCATAATGGAGAGCTGTCACTACATCATATTGATCGAGGGGACATCCTGAATGCTTGAAATTTTCAATGACCATTCACAACGTCACATATTTGACCAAGGGCGAGAACTTCTCCGTGTAGTCGATACCATATCTCTGGCAAAAACACCTAGCCACAAGTCGTGCCTTGTATCTCTCAATTGACACATTCGCCTTGCGCTTTATCTTGAAGACCGATTTGGTACCAATGGAGCCTTAACACTGGGCAGCTTGGATGCTCGGAACACACCGAGAAGTTTTATTGAGTCGAGTTCCGCATCGATTGACTTGCGACAATGTACTTGGTCCGGACCACTCACTGTTTTTTCGTAGGTGTAGTGGGTACATTTAGTATGTCGAACGACCGAAGTTTGCCCTCTTAGGTGGGGCCTACAAATCCACTACCTCATGGCCATTGGTTACTGTATTATCTGGGTACCAGCCAGTCCAGGGCCCCCGACTCTTTTATGTTGGGGATTAATGCTTACACGAGAGGCCGAGCTCAATGGCACATGAGTTTTGGGTGGTACAACTGAAACTTGTGTGTCACACATTTTTAACGAGCTTGGGTTGGTTGTACAGGAAAACGAGCTAGCATACACGTAATCGGAAGGGCGTTGCTGACCCAAGGCACCGGGGAAACCCCTCGGGCCACTCACCGCTTCTTCAAATGTCGATGGCTCCGAAAAATTACATTCTTGCCTTGGCAACGTTTACACTTGCATGCCAAAACGCGTCGGACTATCATACAGACTGATCTTCAGACGTATCTTCTTCCTTTTATCAGGTCGATCCTGCGAGCAGTCGTCCTGCACACTCAATTCTTCTTTCGAACCAAGTAGTCGACGTACTGCACGAGGCATGCTTGTAGCTTCATCATCGTTACTAAGCTGGGGCTTGCGTTTTACTGTTTGTTGGAACTACTTGTGACAAGGATCTTCGTCATCCAGATCGAGTGATTTAAGGTCCACTTAATTAACGTATTCGTCTAAAATCATCATCGAAAGGCAAAATGCTGACTCACCAAATTTGACATTGCGACTGATCGCCACCTGCCCCGCAGCGATGCCATAAACTCGACACACCATGGAAACTTCTTCGTATCCCTGAAATAATCCAGCACGAGTCTCGAAATTCACTTAAATCGTGTTTCCTTCGAGATCAGTATGTGCTTCTGACAGCCAAATACTCGCATGTGCTTGACACTTGGCTTATAATTGTAGGCAAGCTCGAAAGGAGTCTTGTGCGGGAACTTGGGCGATGGCACACGTTTCTTCACATAGATAGCTGTCATTGCCACTTCAGCCCAGCTATGTAACATCTATTTAACTTGGCAAGATGGAGCATGCAGTGACAGATCGATATGATAGTCCAAGTCGCACGTTCACAAGTTCCGTTTACTTGATGTGCATACGGAACCGTGGTTTGCTTCTCGATACCGTCTGCTGCGTTGAAGCTTTCACGCGTGTTGGTCGCAAACTCGCAGGATTCATCGTGTTGCACAAACTTGACCTTCTTGCCAAATTGTATTCGGATCACGTGATAAGCTTTTTGGCATATATTCACTCTTCGACTTGGCACGCAGACGAAACCCCTTCATGTAGCCGCTGGCTCCAACCACAATCAGCAGCAGATACTTGCCATCACCACCAACTTCTCTTCCATGAGCACACAGATGCTGAAGTGAAGCATCTCAAAAGGTGCCACAGCTGCTCTTGTCGCGGTTGCTTGGGAACGTTTTTTAACCATCTCCTCTTCTTGACATCCTCAACCTAAACTTGGTCCAGTTAGCTTGACAGAGATTTTTGCGTCCTCGATCATGTTGTTGGTCAACATCTTGCGGAGTAATTTGACTAGAGTATGGCCCATTTGCGCATGAATAGTTAAAGCTGTCACTTGATGCCGCATTGGCCAATCTCTGCGCAGTGCAACGCCAGTCGAGTTTATACACGAGGTCAGCAGCTGCCATTACTTAGTTGGAATCCTTGAAAGCAACGTAAATCGTAGCTCTGTCAAATACCACTTGAAACTTGTCATGCTTGTTAATCTGTGGCACTGAAAGCATTTATGCTCATGCTGGGCAGATACAGTGCTTTATTCTCTCGATTTCGCGTTCTTCCCTGTTTGACAGGGTCACCTTTTCAACGAAAGCCTTCACATCTAATGGCTGCCTTGTTGCCATTAGCTACCAGGATCTCGCTATCATTGCCTTCAACCAAGCTTGCAACTTGAACTTGTCGTGGCAGATGTGATTCGTTGCACCGATTTCTACGGCCCACATTCCTGATCCATCCTTGTTCGCCAAAACTCCACATTGGAACGAAACTGCAACCGATAGTATATCGTAGATGCTGCCTTTCGCATAGTGTCGCCACTGAACGTTGTTTTCCTCGCTTCCACGACCATCGCTGCCACGTCTACGCTCTACCTTAATGATACGTCCAGTAACATTCTGTCGTCTGTCACACCTTGCCGCAATACGTGCGTCGGTATGGCTCGCGCTCGGTACTGAATGCATTTGTTACATCTCTAATTTTCACCGTTGTTGTTGCCGTCATCACCTTCTAGCCTTGTCGCTTTTTGTAATCATCCGTCGGCTCCTTGGCCACATCTTACGTACGCAGCTCTGCATTGCTCATCTCCAGGTTCAGAACCACGTTCTCAAAATTCTTCGGGAGACTGAGCAGCAAGCAGATCGCAAGGTCTTCATCTTCCATCTTGGCACCAATTCTGCTTAGCTTAGCGCCGTTGTTCAAGACTTCACTGCAATGGTGCAAGACTGGCGCCTTCCGCCATCTTGATGCGGAATAGATGGCTCTTGAGGTAGGCGTGTCCCGCCTTCTGCGACCCACCATAGAGCATCTTCAATAGTAACTACGCGACCATGCTTCTTCGTAGTCGTCGACCACATGGTGGTAGTCCGCGTCCATGTGAAGCAACATCAACCCGAACCGAATGCAATTTCGTCCACCTTAACGTATTCATCAAATGATCGCATGTCGGTGAATCTTGGTTCGTTTCACGGTTCCGACGTACCAGACTGACTTCTGCGGAAACACGCCGCGCATGAACGACACCAGGTTGCGTAGTTATATCCATCGATCTTACAAACGGAGACACTAGTCGAGGCGTCGCTGGAGAACATGGCCTTTGGACTTATAATCTGTCTCAACTTAAGCGAGATGTGAAGAGTAAACGAAGTGAAGAGCCCGGAGAGAACGGAGCGAAGAACACTCGTTCACTTAAGAGAGGAATCGAAATCGATCGATTTATCGGAGCTTTTTCTACCTACACATGATTTATATGTTCACACATATACATAAATTATGTGTGCGGCTGTTCACTCCCTGATGTATAGTAACCGCCTATAAATCAAGTAGATCTTCCTATCAATCTACACATCTGATCAACTTTAAGGTAATTACCGTCGTAAGAACTGTGCCATAAGAAATTACCCTTGTAGATCTATTGTACCGGTAAACCCTCCATAAAATCATACAAAGACGGTTATTCAAAGACTTGCTGCTGCCCAATGGTTGCGCTGACTCCTTGCGCACGAAATACATACAGAAACACCGAGTAAAACTTGATATCTGCTACCTTTTGTTGTCAGCGATAGAAATAGCAGATTACTGATCGTGCTTGGCACGAAGAGTGTGTCCTTAATTTTTATCTTGCGCTATACTTCGTAAAGTGATGTACCCCCGTACCTTTGATCGTAGCCTTGATTCCGCCAGCCACCGGTTCACCTTCTTCCTGCTCGTTATGTCATTGCACATCGGCCGTGACATTGCATTCTTTGATGCGTTGCGCTGCTGTTGACCAATTTATTTTTTAAATGTTATTCCCGGTGGAGAATCAGCGTATCAGCAACATAGCCAATGCGGCTTGTTCAAAGTGGCTACAGTCTCTTCGTCCACTATTGTACTTTCTTAAGCCACTTCCAAGCGTCTTGGGCATGCTTGGTATAGCGCCATTCCAGAATTTGTGTCCATTTCTTGCACGACATGTACTGAGGAGGACCGCGTCGACAATTGTTGGAAGGTACAAAGTACTTGGTGAGAGAATTGAAGCTTGAAGAAACGGAAGAAGTCTGCACTGCAAAGTGTAGACGACTTACGAAGGAAAAGGAATGTTTTGAAGTGATTTAATTTGTGGGTTTGTTTAATCTACCTGATTTATCTGTGTCCTGATTTATATATTGTGCACATGCAAATTATAAATCATATCGGTCATCCAATCGTCCTATGCGTCTAATTATTGGTGAGAACTCACCGTAATTACGCGAGATCGACTTGGACAGGCTTACGGTTTCCATGGTAGTTGATAATTGTACCTTAACCGTCAACTCACAATACGCCCCCTCAATGAGAACACGCGTGTATGCCAAGCGCTGCCGTCAAGTCCTTGTGGCGCGGTCTTGGCAGTCCCTTCGTCACGATGTCCACCAGCATCATCACAATCTCACAGTATTCCAACGTGACTTCACCACGCTTGACTTCACCACGAATGTGATGGTTATTGATGTCGATGTGCTTGGCCTGACCTGGTTCACAGGATTGTTCGTCATCTTGATGCACGATTGGTTATCTTCCATGATCTTGAGCTCGATTCCAGACTTGTCCTCTGCGGCATTTAGAATATCGCACAGCAATCGATGCACCCACTTGCCTTCTTGAATTGCCAGACTTAGCGCAACATACTCTGCTTCGCTTGTCGATAGCGATACAATTGATTGATTCTTGCTTCCCCAGATTATCGGACCACTCATCAGGATAAACGCATATCCTGATGTCGACTTGCAGCCTATATGATCACCGGCCTAGTCTGCATCCGGGTAGCCACAAGTCCACCTTGTTGTCGAATATAAAGCAGATTCCGTGTGACTTGGTTTCTTGTAGATAACGAAGAATGCGCTTGACCGCCATTTAATGCTCGAGTTGGGGGTTCTCCATGAAGCGCGAATCGTAGCCCACAGCAAGATCAATGTCCGGTCTTGTGGCGATCATAAAGTCCATCAAAGCACCTACTACCTCACGAAACGGAGCGTTGATCTTGTTGGTTGCTGAGTCGCTATGTGTGACTCGAGAACCAATGTCCGCTGGGCTGATGACGGCCTTGCAATCACTCATGCCAAAACGCTTGAGGACTTCGTCCACGTATCGTCGGTGGCACATTGTCACACCGTCGATGTTGTCCACAAGCTCGATTCCCAATGCGAACGTGCACTTGCCGCTGTCAGTCATCTCGAACCGCATCTTTAAGTCACTCTTGGTGCGCGCAAGCATCCAACACATCATCGACGTTTACCGACAACAGCACGCACTGTCCGCTTGCAATCTTGAGATAAAGGCGTGGGTCAAAATCGGATAATTGAAAAACAATCGAGAAAACGAATTTATGATTCTCGTTCCATACCCGAGAAGCTTGCTTGAGACCCTAGATCGCCTTCACTGTTAAAGGTATGACACGGGAGTGACGAGAAGACCGGAAGAGACCGGAGGGAGCGAAGAGGCTCGAGGAGCGGAGCAGAGAAGACTTGCTCAGCAGAAGGAGAATTCGAAAGTGATTGATTATCGGGGCTTGCTACTTACTACATGATTCATATGTGGTGCAGACATAAATCATGTGAAGCGTCTCATCATCCTACGCGTCTAATCAACTATGGTAATTACCGTAAGCACTACGTCGTAAATACTAAGCTGAACAGGTGGTTCGGATTGGACCGGTCACGGTTACCAATACCGGTAGGAAACCGATGGCCGTCAATAGGCCCCCTCAATGCGAACACGCACAAATCCCGAGAGTCGCCGTCATCTCCTTGTGGTGTGGCCCGTGAAGTCCCTTCGTCATGATGTCCGCTAACATCACCGAAGTTTCACAGTACTTGAGCTTCACTTCACCGCGCTTGACCTCATCACGGATGTGATGATACTTTATGTCAATGTGCTTGGCACGGCCGTGGTTGACCGGGTTCTTCGTCATCTTGATACACGACTGATTGTCTTCATGGATCATGAGTTCCGGTCCTTCTTTATCGGTAGCCATCATCATCTCACAAAGCAGACGATGAATCCACTTGCCTTCTTGAATCGATAAGCTGAGTGCGATGTATTCGGCTTCACTCGTGGACAACGAAACACTTGGCTGTTTCTTGCTGCCCCAACTCACTGGCGCACCCAACAGCATGAATACGTAACCAGACGTCGACTTGCGATCAGCGAGGTCACCGGCCCAGTCTGCATCCGAGTAGCAACGAAAACCGATCTTCGCATTTGGCTTGTAGCAGATTCCGTGCATCTTGGTGCCTAGTAGGTAGCGGAAGATGCGCTTGACTGCAACCCAGTATCCTTCTTGGGGGTTCCTCATGAATCGCGACACATAGCCCATGGCGAACGCAATATCCGGGCGCGTTGCAGTGGTCAGGTGCATCAACGCACCAACAGCTTCGCGAAAAGGAGCATCGACCCTGGTGGCTGCATCACTTGAAACAAGTCGAGAGCTCATTGTCGACTGGATTTTTGACGGCTTTGCAATCATCCATGCCAAAGCGCTTGAGTATGTCATCCACATACCTACGCTGACACAATGTAACGCTTCCATCTTCTCCATTCAAAAGCTCAATTCCAAGAAAAAATGCACACTTGCCGCTATCAGTCATCTCGAAGCGTGTCTTCAGGTCGGTCTTGGTGCGTGCAATTAGCTCGCATGAGCTACCGGTGATCAACACGTCATCCACATACACCAGCAGCAGCACGCATTGCCCTTCCACAATTTTTATGTAGAGAAATGGGTCGAGGCTTGACGCTTGGAATCCAATGGCACACATGAACTCGTCAAACGTTTCGTTCCATACGCGCAACGCTTGCTTTAGTCCGTAAATTGCCTTCACCAACTCCAGACAATCGAAGGAGCCCTCCAATTTCACGCCTTCAGGAATGACGCAGAACACGTGTTCCTTCATGACACCATACAGGAATTCTGTCACCACGTCGAGTTGTTCGATGGTCTATCCGAAATACTTGGCGACTGCAATTCCCATGCGCAGCGTCACGTACTTGACGACGACCGAAAATGTTTCCGTGTAGTCAATCCCATGCTTTTGCTTAAAAACCCTTTGCCACAAGACGCGCCTTGTGCTTGTCAATTGATCCGTCCGCTTTGCGCTTTATCTTGAAGACCCACTTCGTGTCAATGGCGCGATGTCCTTTAGGTAGCTTGGCTGCGCGGAATACTTCACGAAGTCGCATCAACTCAATTTCGCACGGATAGCTTCGCGCCAATGCACTTTATTAGGACCGCTCACCGCAGCTTCAAAAGTCGATGGCTCGGATAAGTCCAATGCTGTTTCGATGGCGTTCACACTCGCAAGCCAAAACACAGGCGGAGTCGATGCATCAGCATTCTTTGTTTCTTCATCTTCTTCTTGGTGGGTCGTGTGATTGTCTGGCGCACTTAATTCTTCTAGTCCGGGCCGTTGACGCACTGTGCGCGTGGGTGGAGCTGGTACTTTTTCATCATGGGGACGACTCTTGCGCTTGCCTGTTTGCTTGTACTGCGCTTGACCTGGAGCTTCATCATCCAGATCGAGGGAGTCGAAGTCAATGTCATCGGCGTCTTCAGCGGTGGTTGGCGGCGAAAGTCCAAAGGCGGACTCGTCAAAGTTGACATCGCGACTGATGACCACCTGCTTCGCCTCGATGTCATAAACACGACACGCTTTGGATGCTTCTTCGTAGACCAAGAATATCCCAGTGCGAGGCTTGGGGTCCCACTTGAGCCGCTTCTCCTTCGGTGTCAGTATGTAAACCTGACAACCGAACACCCGCATGTGCTTGACACTTGGCTTGGAGTTGTGGACGATCTCGAACGGAGTCTTGTGCATAACTTTAGGCGATGGCAGACGGTTCTTGACGTAGATTGCCGTCATTGCTGCTTCGGCCCAGAAGCACTTTTCCAACTTAGCATGGTGGAGCATGCTGCGACCAATTGTGACGATAGTCCGAATGGCGCGCTCTGCCGTGCCGTTGGTCTGGTGTGCATATGACACCGTCGTCTGCTGCTCAATGCCTTCATCTTCGTAGAATTCTTGAAGCGAGTTGGTTGCGAACTCGCGGGCTCCGTCGTGTCGGACGAGCTTGACCTTCTTGACAAACTGTGCTTGCACCATCTTGATGTATCGTGTGATGTAGTTTTCACTCTCCGACTTCACACGTAGACAGAAGCCCTTCATGCATCCACTGGCTTCGTCAACGATCAGCAGTAGGTACTGCTGCCACCCAGAGAATTCATCTCCATGGGTCCGCAGATGTCGACGTGAAGTAGCTCGAAGGTGTCGTATCTGCGCTTGTCCTGGTTGCGTGGGAATGGATTTTGGACCATTTTCCCTTGTTGACATCCTCGGCATGCGCTTGGTCCACTTGACGTGAGAGGTACCTTCACATCCTTGATCCTGTTCGTGGCCACCATTTTGAGAAGCACATCAGCTGGAGCGTGTCCCATCCGCGCATGTAAGTCGACACCGTTGCTTCCGTTTGTTGTCGCATTGGCCGATCGATGAGCTGTGTGAAGCCAGTAAAGGCCATCCACAAGATCTGCTGTTGCCACCACTTGTTGCGATTCTTTGCGAGCGACAAACATCTTGGTCCCGTCGAACACGACTAGAAACTTGCCGTGCTTGTTGATCTGCGGTACCGAAAGTAGATTCTTGCTCATGCTTGGTACGTAAAGCACGTTCTCGATCTCGATCTCGCGCTCTTCACCGTCGGGCAGAACCACCTTTTCAAAGATGGTTCCAACATCCTTGATGGCCACTTTGTTGCCATCCGCCACCAAGATTTCACCGTCGTTGCGCTTGTTCAGTCTTGCAAACTTGGTCTTGTCGTGGCAAAAGTGGTGTGTTGCACCACTGTCGACGGCCCACATTCCGGACACGTCCTTCTTCGCTGAGAGTCCACACTCTAGCGAAACTGCAAACGCTACTTGATCGTAGTCGATGCCTTCATCACGATATTGTCCCCACTGGACATTTTTTGTCCCGCGTCCACGACCATTGCCGCCGCGTCGGGCTCCTCGACTTTCATTCTTCTGCTTGGACCAACAGCGATCGACGGTGTGTCCCACCTTCCCACAGAAGGTGCACTTGTATGGCTCGCGCTCAGTGTTGAAGGCCTTGGCTGCATCTTCAGTCTTAACCATCGTCGCTGTTGTTGTCACCTTCTCCCCTTGGCGCTTGGTGTGCTCATTCGTGAGCACCTTCACCACATCTTGGGTACGAAGCTCTGCGCTGCTCATCTCCAGGTTGAGAACAACATTCTCAAAACACTTAGGGAGACTGAGCAGCAGGCAAATTGCGACGTCCTCGTCCTCCATCTTCGCACCGATGCTGCTAAGCTTGGCGGCGATGTTCAGGACCTCGCTGCAGTGATGCACGACGTTGGCGCCTTCATCCATCTTCATGATGAAGAGTTGACGCTTGAGGTAGATCCTTCCCGCTTTCTGGGATCCACCATACAGCACCTTCAGGTTTTGCCACGCAACCCACGCTTCCTCGCAGTTGTCAACCACATGGTGGTAGTCCGCACCCATGTGCAGCAACATCATTCCAAACGCGATGTTGTTGGTCTTGACGTAGTCTTCCTGCGCTCGAGGACCCACGACCGTTGGGGAGCTCTCCCGGTTGACAGCATGCCACACTGACTTTGTCAGGAACACGCCACGCATGTATCGACCCCAGGTCAAATAGTTGTCCCCATCGAACTTATCGATGAGGGAGTTGAAGGATGCGTGGCCGGCAGAAGACATTGCGCTTGGGATCATAACCTGTTGAAGGTATGACACGGGAGTGACGAGAAGACCGGAAGAGACCGGAGGGAGCGAAGAGGCTCGAGGAGCGGAGCAGAGAAGACTTGCTCAGTAGAAGGAGAATTCGAAAGTGATTGATTATCGGGGCTTGCTACTTACTACATGATTTATATGTGGTGCACATATAAATCATGTGAAGCGTCTCATCATCCTACGCGTCTAATCAACTATGTTAATTACCGTAAGCACTACGTCGTAAATACTAAGCTGAACAGGCGGTTCGGATTGGACCGGTCACGGTTACTAATACTGGTAGAAAACCGATGACCGTCAACATTCACCAATTTAAAGCGATTAAAGTTGTCATCTATCTCGACGCCTTCTAGGATCGCGCAGAACACATTTTCTTGTATCTCTCCGTACACTAAGGCTGTCACCACGTCCAGTTGGTCCAGGGACCAGTTGAAGTACTTGGTGATCGCATTACCATGCGCAGCGTCACGTACTTGACCACGGGCAAGAATGACTCCGTGTAGTCGATGCCGTACTTCTTCTTGAACCCTTTTGCCACGAGTCTCGCCTTAAAAAATTCTCGATCGATCCATCGTCCTTGCGCTTTATCTTGAACATCTACTTGGTGCCAATGATGTGTTGTCCAGCTGGCAACTCTGTCGCTCGAAACACGCCGCAAAGTCTTATCGTTTCCAACTCGGTACATATCGCTTTGCACCAATGCACTTGATCCGGTCCTCTAACAGCATCTCTATACGTTGTCGGCTCGGACATGTCTGCAGATCCTTTAACTGCGTTGACACTCGCTCGCCGAAAAACTTGAGGTGTGGCGTCATCATCATCTTCATGCTGCCTTTCCGTTATTCGTCAAAGTTGGTTCGAGTGCTTGATCGTCATTTTGCTTGGTACGATACAAGGTCCTCCGGCCTACTCGCTTCTTCCATTCCGGATACGTGACGAGTAGAAAGAGTTCGTTGATAAGCTTGCTCTTAATTGTTTAAACGATCCTTGCGTTTTCCAGTTTGCTTGAACTGCATGAGGTGAGGCTCATCACTGATGCTCATTGAGTCAAAGTCCAGTGCAGTGTCATCCACATTTTTTGTAGCATCGTCGGTGAAGACGCAAACTCGGACTCGATGAAGGTGACATCACGCGATATTAACACTCGGTCCGCTTCTACGTCGTAGATACGGTATGCCTTCGACACCTCTTCGTACCCTACGAAAAGTCCTTTACGAGCCTTCGGATCCCATTTCGACCTTTTTTTAGGGGGGCAGCATAAACAATTGGCAGCCTAACACTCGCAAGTGCTTCACACTTGGACGAAATCCATTGACGATCTCGAACGGATTTTTGTCTTGGCACTTGGGTGAAGGTAGACGATTCTTGGTGTAGATCGCCTTTATTGCTGCTTCGGCCCAAAAACACTTATCCATCTTGGCGTAGTGAAGCATGCTGCGGCCGATCGTCACGATATTTCGAATTGCCCGTTCCGCTGTACCAATGGTCTAGTGCGCATACGGAAAGGTGACCTGCTGTTCGATTCCTTGATCGTCGTAGAATGCCTTGAGCGAAGCTGTCGAGAATTTTCGTGCACCATCATGTCGAATGAACTTGACCTTATATTCAAACTGTGTCTGCACTGCAGCGATATACTTCTTGATGCAATCTTTGCTGTCGGATTTGGCGCGCAGGCTGATACCTTTCGTACACCCCCTGCCTTCATTGACGATCAGAAGTAAGTATATGCTCTAATTCAGCAAGTCGACTTCCATCGGTCCAAAGTGTCGATGTGCAGGAGCTCAAACGGGTCATAGTGGCGCTTGTTTGGGTTGCTTGGGACGGTCGTTGCACCATCTTTCTTCTTGACAACCGCGACACAAGCTTGATCCATCAGGTGTCGATGTTATCTCGACGTCCTTAATCATGCCCCTGGAAATCATCATACGCAAGACATCGAGTGGTGCGTAAACCATTCGCGCATGAAGATCTTCAAATTTCAACCTAGAAGTAGCATTCACATATCTTTGGGATGTGCGAAGCCAGTAGAGTCCATTCATAAATCCGCCATCTCCACCACTTGCTCGGAGTCGTTGCACGAAATCTTCACCTCACCCCCATCAAACAACACTTAAACTTGTCGCTTTTATTGATCTAAGGTATCAACAGTAGTTTCTTGTTCATTCTCGGGACTTAAAATGCGTCCTTGATTTCCACTTCGCGCTCTTCACCTTTTTTCAGAACCACCTTTTCGACGATAGTCCCAACTCCATTGAGCCTTAATTCCGCCAGCAACTAGCACTTCGCCTTCGTTGCGCTCGTCCAGATCTTCAAACTTGGACTTGTTATAGCAGATGTGGTGCGTTGCACCGCTGTCAATCGCCCACATTCCCACCATGGTCCTGATTGTCGAAAGTTTGCATTCCAGCGAAATAGCAAACGTTACTCGATTATGGTCGTACTTGTTGCCGTTGCTGTTGTAGCCTTGCCATTGGACTTGATTTGCTTTGGGTCCACGAGCATTGTTGCCGTTGCGTCGAGCTTCTCGGTTGTGTTCCTTCTGCTTGGTCGAGCACTTTTCTACCGTGTGCCCCAATTTTCCGCAGAACGTACGTTGACGGAATTCACGCTCGGTGCTGAAGGCCATTGTCGCTTCTTTAGTCATCACCGATGTTATCTTGTACCCTTGCCTCTTGGTATGCTCATTCGTGAGCATTCTCACGACTTCTCGTGACCGCAGTTCCGCGCTGCTCATCTCCAAGTTTAACACGACATTCTTGTAGCTCTTGGGGGGACTGCGCAACAAGCAGATATCCGTGTCCTCGTCGTCCGTCTTAGCGCCGATGCTGCTGAGCTTGACGCTGATGTTGAGAACGTTGTTTCAATGGTGCATTACATTGACGCCTTCTTCCATCTCCATGCTGAACAGCTGTCTCTTCAAGAAGATCCATCCCGCCTTCATGGATCCGCCATAGAGAGTCCTCAACGGCGCCCACGCAACCCACGCTTCTTCATACTCATCAACCACGTGATGGTGTTCCGCGCTCATGTGAAGCAGCATCAAGCCGAACGCAATGTTGTGCGTCTTGGCGTACTCGTCACTGTCGCGAGGGTCGGCGAAGGTGGGGGTGGTCTCCCGGTTGACCACGTACCACGACGACTTGGCCAGGAACACGCCACGCATGTAACGGCTCCACGTCGCGTAGTTATCGCCATCGAATTTGTTGATGTAGATCGTGGTGGCGAAATCTTGAGCAGATAATATCGTGCTTGGGCTCATAACCTGTAGGAAGGTACCGAGCACTTGGTGAGAAAATTGAAGCTTGAAGAAACGAAAGAAGTCTGCACTGCAAAATGTAGACGACTTACGAAGGAGAAGGAATGTTTGGAAGTGATTTAATTTGTGAGTTTGCTTAAGCTACCTGATTTATCTGTGTCCTGATTTATATATTGTGCACATGCAAATTATAAATCATATCGGTCATCCAATCGTCCTATGCGTCTAATCATCGGTAAGAACTCACCGAAATTACGCGAAATCGACTTGGACAGGTTTGTTGGAAAGACGGCAACTGTGAAGAAGACACCTCGTCAACCTGCGTCAAGCGTTGAAGCAAGTCGAAGACCAAGCTTCGATATGCCGGTGGGTACCGGTAAGTACTAGTGTTGACGGTCATCGGTTTCCTACCAGTATTAGTAACCGTGAAGGGTCCAATCCGAACCGCCAGTTCAGCTTCGTATTTACGACGTAGTTCTTACGGTAATTACCATAGTGGATTAGACGCGTAGGATGATGAGACGCTTCACATGATTTTTATGTGCACCACATATAAATCATGTAGTAAGTAGTAAGCCGTGATAATCAATCACTTTCGAATTCTCCTTCTGCTGAGCAAGTCTTCTCTGCTCCGCTCCTCGAGCCTCTTCGCTCCCTCCGGTCTCTTCCGGTCTTCTCGTCACTCCCGTACCATACCTTCAGCAGGTTATGAGCCCAAGCGCAATGTCTTCTGCCGGCCACGCATCCTTCAACTTCCTCATCGATAAGTTCGATGGGGACAACTATTTGACCTGGAGTCGATACATGCGTGGTGTGTTTCTCACCAAGTCGGTGTGGCATGTTGTCAACCGGGAGAGCTCTCCAGCGTTTGTGGAGCCACGGGCGCAGGAAGACTACGTCAAGACGAGCAACATCGCGTTTGGTTTGATGTTGCTCCACATGGGTGCGGATTATCACCATGTGGTGGACGACTATGAGGAAGCGTGGGTTGCGTGGCAAAACCTGAAGGTGCTGTATGGTGGATCCCAGAAAGCGGGAAGGATCTACCTCAAGCGTCAACTCTTCAGCATGAAGATGGATGAAGGCTCCAACGTCGTGCATCACTGCAGCGAGGTCCTGAACATCGCCGCCAAGCTTAGCAGCATCGGTGCAAAGATGTAGGACGAGGACGTTGCAATCTGCTTACTGCACAGTCTGCCCAAGAGTTTTGAGAACGTTGTTCTCAACCTGGAGATGAGCAGCGCAGAGCTTCGTACCCAAGATGTGGTGAAGGTGCTCACGAATGAGCACACCAAGCGCCAAGGGGAGAAGGTGACAACAACAGCGACAATGGTCAAGACTGAAGATGCAGCCAAGGCCTTCAACACTGAGCGCGAGCCATACAAGTGCACCTTCTGTGGGAAGGTGGGACACACCGTCGATCGCTGTTGGCCCAAGCAGAAGAATGAAAGTCGAGGAGCCCGACGCGGCGGCAATGGTCGTGGACGCGGGGCAAACAATGTCCAGTGGGGACAATATCGTGATGAAGGCATCGACTACGATCAAGTAGCGTTTGCAGTTTCGCTAGAGTGTGGACTCTCAGCGAAGAAGGACGTGTCCGGAATGTGGGCCGTCGACAGTGGTGCAACACACCACTTTTGCCACGACAAGACCAAGTTTGCAAGACTGAACAAGCGCAACGACGGTGAAATCTTGGTGGCGGATGGCAACAAAGTGGCCATCAAGGATGTTGGAACCATCTTTGAAAAGGTGGTTCTGCCCGACGGTGAAGAGCGCGAGATCGAGATCGAGAACGTGCTTTACGTACCAAGCATGAGCAAGAATCTACTTTCGGTACCGCAGATCAACAAGCACGGCAAGTTTCTAGTCGTGTTCGACGGGACCAAGATGTTTGTCGCTCGCAAAGAATCGCAACAAGTGGTGGCAGATCTTGTGGATGGCCTTTACTGGCTTCACACAGCTCATCGATCGGCCAATGCGACAACAAACGGAAGCAACGGTGTCGACTTACATGCGCGGATGGGACACGCTCCAGCTGATGTGCTTCTCAAAATGGTGGCCACGAACAGGATCAAGGATGTGAAGGTACCTCTCACGTCAAGTGGACCAAGCGCATGCCGAGGATGTCAACAAGGGAAAATGGTCCAAAATCCATTCCCACGCAACCAGGACAAGCGCAGATACGACACCTTCGAGCTACTTCACGTCGACATCTGCGGACCCATGGAGATGAATTCTCTGGGTGGCAGCAGTACCTACTGCTGATCGTTGACGAAGCCAGTGGATGCATGAAGGGCTTCTGTCTACGTGTGAAGTCGGAGAGTGAAAACTACATCACACGATACATCAAGATGGTGCAAGCACAGTTTGTCAAGAAGGTCAAGCTCGTCCGACACGACGGAGCTCGCGAGTTTGCTACGAACTCGCTTCAAGATTTCTACGAGGATGAAGGCATTGAACAACAGACTACGGTGCCGTATGCACACCAGACCAACGGAACAGCAGAGCGCGCCATTCGGATCGTCACGATCGGCCGCAGCATGCTTCACCATGCCAAGTTGGATAAGTGCTTCTGGGCTGAAGCAGCAATGACGGCCATCTACGTCAAGAATCGCCTACGTTCATCTAAAGTTGTGCACAAGACCCCGTTTGAGATCGTGTACAACTCCAAGCCAAGTGTCAAGCACATGCGAGTATTCGGCTGTCAGGTTTACATACTGACTCCGAAGGAGAAGCGACTCAAGTGGGATCCCAAGGCTCGCACTGGGATATTCTTGGGCTACGAAGAAGCATCCAAAGCGTGTCGTGTTTATGACATCGAGGCGGGGCAGGTGGTCATCAGTCGCGATGTCAACTTTGACGAGTCCGCCTTTGGACTTTCGCCGCCAACCACCGCTGAAGACGCCGATGACATTGACTTCGACTCCCTCGATCTGGATGATGAAGCGCCAGGTCAAGCGCAGTACAAGCAAACAGGCAAGCGCAAGAGTCGTCCCCATGATGAAAGAGTACCAGCTCCACCCACGCGCACAGTGCGTCAACGGCCCGGACTAGAAGAATCAAGTGCGCCAGACGGGGGAACACCATTTCTCTACATAAAAATTGTGGAAGGGCAATGCGTGCTGCTGCTGGTGTATGTGGATGACGTGTTGATCACCGGTAGCTCATGCGAGCTAATTGCACGCACCAAGACCGACCTGAAGACACGATTCGAGATGACTGACAGCGGCAAGTGTGCATTTTGTGCTTGGAATAGAGCTTTTGGACGGCGCAGATAGAAGTGTGACACTATGTCAGCGTAGGTATGTGGATGACATACTCAAGCGCTTTGGCATGGATGATTGCAAAGCCGTCAAAAATCCAGTCGACAATGAGCTCTCGACTTGTTTCAAGTGATGCAGCCACCAAGGTGGATGCTCCGTTTCGCGAAGCGGTTGGTGCTTTAATGCATTTGATGACTGCAACGCGCCCAGATATTGCGTTCGCCATGGGCTATGTGTCGCGATTCATGAGGAACCCCCAAGAAGGATACTGGGTTGCAGTCAAGCGCATCTTCCGCTACCTACTAGGCACCAAGATGCACGGAATCTGCTACAAGCCAAATGCGAAGATCGGTTTTCGTTGCTACTCGGATGCAGACTGGGCCGGTGACCTCGCTGATCGCAAGTCGACGTCTGGTTACGTATTCATGCTGTTGGGTGCGCCAGTGAGCTGGGGCAGCAAGAAACAACCAAGTGTTTCGTTGTCAACGAGTGAAGCAGAATACATTGCACTCAGTTTGGCAATCCAAGAAGGCAAGTGGATTCATCGTCTGCTTTGTGAGATGATGATGGCTGCCGATAAAGAAGGACCAGAACTCATGATCCATGAAGACAATCAGTCGTGTATCAAGATGACGAAGAACCCGGTCAACCACGGCCGTGCCAAGCACATTGACATAAAGTATCATCACATCCGTGATGAGGTCAAGCGCGGTGAAGTGAAGCTCAAGTACTGTGAAACTTCGGTGATGTTAGCGGACATCATGACGAAGGGACTTCACGGGCCACACCACAAGGAGATGACGGCGACTCTCGGGATTTGTGCGTGTTCGCATTGAGGGGGCGTGTTGACGGTCATCGGTTTCCTACCAGTATTGGTAACCGTGACCGGTCCAATCCGAACCACCTGTTCAGCTTAGTATTTACGACGTAGTTCTTACGGTAATTACCATAGTTGATTAGACGCGTAGGATGATGAGACGCTTCACATGATTTATGTGTGCACCACATATGAATCATGTAGTAAGTAGCAAGCCCCGATAATCAATCACTTTCGAATTCTCCTTCTGCCGAGCAAGTCTTTTCTGCTCCGCTCCTCGAGCCTCTTCGCTCCCTCCGGTCTCTTCCGGTCTTCTCGTCACTCCCGTACCATACCTTCAGCAGGTTATGAGCCCAAGCGCAATGTCTTCTGCCGGCCACGCATCCTCCAACGTCCTCATCGATAAGTTCGATGGTGACAACTATTTGACCTGGAGTCGATACATGCGTGGTGTGTTCCTCACCAAGTCGGTGTGGCATGCTGTCAACCGGGAGAGCTCCCCAACGGTCGTGGGTCCTCGAGCGCAGGAAGACTACGTCAAGACCAACAACATCGCGTTTGGAATGATGTTGCTGCACATGGGTGCGGACTACCACCATGTGGTTGACAACTGCGAGGAAGCGTGGGTTGCGTGGCAAAGCCTGAAGGTGCTGTATGGTGGATCCCAGAAAGCGGGAAGGATCTACCTCAAGCGTCAACTCTTCAGCATGAAGATGGATGAAGGCGCCAACGTCGTGCATCACTGCAACGAGGTCCTGAACATCGCCGCCAAGCTTAGCAGCATCGGTGCAAAGATGGAGGACGAGGACGTTGCAATCTGCTTACTGCACAGTCTGCCCAAGAGTTTCGAGAACGTGGTTCTCAACTTGGAGATGAGCAGCGCAGAGCTTCGTACCCAAGATGTGGTGAAGGTGCTCACGAATGAGCACACCAAGCGCCAAGGGGGGAAGGTGACAACAACAGCGACGATGGTTAAGACTGAAGATGCAGCCAAGGCCTTCAACACTGAGCGCGAGCCATACAAGTGCACCTTCTGTGGGAAGGTGGGACACACCGTCGATCGCTGTTGGTCCAAGCAGAAGAATGAAAGTCGAGGAGCCCGACGCGGCGGCAATGGTCGTGGACGCGGGACAAAAAATGTCCAGTGGGGACAATATCGTGATGAAGGCATCGACTACGATCAAGTAGCGTTTGCAGTTTCGCTAGAGTGTGGACTCTCAGCGAAGAAGGACGTGTCCGGAATGTGGCCGTCGACAGTGGTGCAACACACCACTTATGCCACGACAAGACCAAGTTTGCAAGACTGAACAAGCGCAACGACGGTGAAATCTTGGTGGCGGATGGCAACAAAGTGGCCATCAAGGATGTTGGAACCATCTTTGAAAAGGTGGTTCTGCCCGACGGTGAAGAGCGCGAGATCGAGATCGAGAACGTGCTTTACGTACCAAGCATGAGCAAGAATCTACTTTCGGTACCGCAGATCAACAAGCACGGCAAGTTTCTAGTCGTGTTCGACGGGACCAAGATGTTTGTCGCTCGCAAAGAATCGCAACAAGTGGTGGCAACAGCAGATCTTGTGGATGGCCTTTACTGGCTTCACACAGCTCATCGATCGGCCAATGCGACAACAAACGGAAGCAACGGTGTCGACTTACATGCGCGGATGGGACACGCTCCAGCTGATGTGCTTCTCAAAATGGTGGCCACGAACATGATCAAGGATGTGAAGGTACCTCTCACGTCAAGTGGACCAAGCGCATGTCGAGGATGTCAACAAGGGAAAATGGTCCAAAATCCATTCCCACGCAACCAGGACAAGCGCAGATACGACACCTTCGAGCTACTTCACGTCGACATCTGCGGACCCATGGAGATGAATTCTCTGGGTGGCAGCAGTACCTACTGCTGATCGTTGACGAAGCCAGTGGATGCATGAAGGGCTTCTGTCTACGTGTGAAGTCGGAGAGTGAAAACTACATCACACGATACATCAAGATGGTGCAAGCGCAGTTTGTCAAGAAGGTCAAGCTCGTCCGACACGACGGAGCCCGCAAGTTCGCAACCAACTCGCTTCAAGAATTCTACGAAGATGAAGGCATTGAGCAGCAGACGACGGTGCCATATGCACACCAGACCAACGGCACGGCAGAGCGCGCCATTCGGACTATCGTCACAATTGGTCGCAGCATGCTCCACCATGCTAAGTTGGAAAAGTGCTTCTGGGCCGAAGTAGCAATGACGGCAATCTACGTCAAGAACCGTCTGCCATCGCCTAAAGTTATGCACAAGACTCCGTTCGAGATCGTCCACAACTCCAAGCCAAGTGTCAAGCACATGCGGGTGTTCGGTTGTCAGGTTTACATACTGACACCGAAGGAGAAGCGGCTCAAGTGGGACCCCAAGGCTCGCACTAGGATATTCTTGGGCTACGAAGAAGCATTTAAAGCGTGTCGTGTTTATGACATCGAGGCGGGGCAGGTGGTCATCAGTCGCGATGTCAACTTTGACGAGTCCGCCTTTGGACTTTCGCCACCAACCACCGCTGAAGACGCCGATGACATTGACTTCGATTCCCTCGATCTGGATGATGAAGCGCCAGGTCAAGCGCAGTACAAGCAAACAGGCAACCGCAAGAGTCGTCCCCATGATGAAAGAGTACCAGCTCCACCCACGCGCACGGTGCGTCAACGGCCTGGACTAGAAGAATCAAGTGCGCCAGACTCTCTACATAAGGATTGTGGAAGGGCAATGCGTGCTGCTGCTGGTGTATGTGGATGACGTGTTGATCACCGGTAGCTCATGCGAGCTAATTGCACGCACCAAGACCGACCTGAAGACACGATTCGAGATGACTGACAGCGGCAAGTGTGCATTTTGTGCTTGGAATAGAGCTTTTGGACGGCGCAGATAGAAGTGTGACACTATGTCAGCGTAGGTATGTGGATGACATACTCAAGCGCTTTGGCATGGATGATTGCAAAGCCGTCGCAAGTCCAGTCGACATGAGCTCTCGACTTGTTTCAAGTGATGCAGCCACCAGGGTCGATGCTCCTTTTCGCGAAGCTGTTGGTGCGTTGATGCACCTGACCACTGCAACGCGCCCGGATATTGCGTTCGCCATGGGCTATGTGTCGCGATTCATGAGGAACCCCCAAGAAGGATACTGGGTTGCAGTCAAGCGCATCTTCCGCTACCTACTAGGCACCAAGATGCACGGAATCTGCTACAAGCCAAATGCGAAGATCGGTTTTCGTTGCTACTCGGATGCAGACTGGGCCGGTGACCTCGCTGATCGCAAGTCGACGTCTGGTTACGTATTCATGCTGTTGGGTGCGCCAGTGAGTTGGGGCAGCAAGAAACAGCCAAGTGTTTCGTTGTCCACGAGTGAAGCCGAATACATCGCACTCAGCTTGGCGATTCAAGAAGGCAAGTGGACTCATCGTCTGCTTTGTGAGATGATGATGGCTGCCGATAAAGAAGGACCAGAACTCATGATCCATGAAGACAATCAGTCGTGTATCAAGATGACGAAGAACCCGGTCAACCACGGCCGTGCCAAGCACATTGACATAAAGTATCATCACATCCGTGATGAGGTCAAGCGCGGTGAAGTGAAGCTCAAGTACTGTGAAACTTCGGTGATGTTAGCGGACATCATGACGAAGGGACTTCACGGGCCACACCACAAGGAGATGACGGCGACTCTCGGGATTTGTGCGTGTTCGCATTGAGGGGGCGTGTTGACGGTCATCGGTTTCCTACCAGTATTGGTAACCGTGACCGGTCCAATCCGAACCACCTGTTCAGCTTCGTATTTACGACGTAGTTCCTACGGTAATTACCATAGTTGATCAGACGCGTAGGATGATGAGACGCTTCACATGATTTATGTGTGCACCACATATAAATCATGTAGTAAGTAGCAAGCCCCAATAATAAACCACTTTCGAATTCTCCTTCTGCCGAGCAAGTCTTTTCTGCTCCGCTCCTCAAGCCTCTTCGCTCCCTCCGGTCTCTTCCGGTCTTCTCGTCACTCCCATGTCATACCTTCAACAACTAGTAAGGGCGAAGTCAGGGAATGACGTCATTGTATGACGTCAGCGGAATGACATCATTGCATGACGTCAGTGGATGACGTCACTGCGAATAATAGGCTTGGAGGTAGTATTCAAAGTTGCGAACTCAGTACCTATTGTAAATACATATGCACTTTGCGTTTTGCACTCGGACCAAGAAGTCTAAAGTTCTTCAAGGTTTACGGTTTCCACGGTAGCTGATAATAGTACCTTAACCGTCAGCCCACAACAGTAATGATCACCTAAGCTGCGTCTTAAGCATGCATCATGATAGTTTCGTTTGCTGCATAGGCAATGCTGCACGTCTACCAGCGCCTGAGCAACGCCCAGCACGCGTACCGACGTTGCTTCTCTTCGAGTTGAGGAACGATGTTGTCATCGATCTTGTGGAGACTGTGCGACAAGCAGATCACCCCTTTTTGTCCTCCATCTTCGCAACAATGCTTTTACTAAGAATTCTGTATATGGTAGAGAGCTGGGGCTATAATTCGAGCTTCAAGGTTTATTTTTTACGGTATTGTTTTTGTGACGGTAATTAACTCATGATTGATCAGACGAGTAGACCGATTGGAAGGCCCACATGATTTATTAGTGGACCACATATAAATCAGGATTTAAGCAGAGAGAGATCCGATGGACCAATCACTTTCGAATCATCCTCCTTCCACACAAGTCGTCATCATTCGGTCCATATTACAAGAGCAGAATTTCTTTGCAAAACCTTAGGCATCAGTTTCAGCATATCTACGTATCAGCAGAGTAGATGCGGCTAACTTCTTTGATCCACCTTATGGCGCCGCCAGGTGACTAGAAGATATAGGCCCCCTCGCCATTCTCAGCCACGTTTTGGTATGTGTTGCAGCGCAGTTGGAATACGATGTTGCTTGCCTGTATATAGCATTCTACGGCACGACGGCTGAGATCGATTCTCGCGTGACACCACAAATAACACACCGACTAAATAGAAAGTATGCCGCGCGAATAGCAAGCCCACATCGCAAAGTGAAGTCTTTTATACTTGTCTATTGTATGTCAGTCGGAATTTGAAATCTGGTGGCGTCTGGCTTTGTACCTTACACCCTAGTGTATGGTGTGAGTATAGATATTCAAACAGGTTGTTTAAATGGAGTACGCGAAGTAAGACGCGCGAGAAGAATCAATGAATAGATGTCTTTTTTGTGCGTTGTAATGGCTTGTAGGCACCCTGTTGAGATGTAACGAGCACTGGGCGAGAGAACGAAGTTTAAAGAACTTAAAAGAAGTCTACACTGCAAAGTGAAGACGACTTGTGTAGGAGAAGGAATATTTGGAAGTGAGTTTATTTGTGGGTTCAAAGCTACCTGAATTGTCTCTGCACTGATTTATATGTGGTCCACATATGAATCATGAATCATAAATCATGTAGGTCATCCAATCATCCTATGCGTCTAATCATTGGTAAAAACTCACCGTAATTACGCGGGATCGACTTGGACGGGTTTACGGTTTCCATGGTAGCTGATAACAGCACCTCAACCGTTAACCCGCAATGCGCCCCCCTCAATGCAAACACGTGCGGATGCCAAGCGCTTCTGTCATCTCCTTGTGACGCGGTCCGTGAAGTCCCTTGGTCATGATGTCTGCTAACATCGCCGTAGTCTCACAGTACTTGAGCTTGACTTCGCCGCACTTGACCTCATCACGAATGTGATGGTACTTGATGTCGATGTGCTTGGCCCGACCATGGTTCACAGGATTGTTCGTCATCTTGATGCACGATTGGTTATCTTCCGTGATCTTGAGCTCGGGTCCAGACTTGTCCTCTACGGCATCCAGAATCTCGCACAGCAATCGATGCACCCACTTGCCTTCTTGAATCGTCAGACTTAGTGCAATGTACTCAGCTTCATTTGTTGACAGCGACACCCTTGACTGCTTTTTGCTTCCCCAGCTCACCGGAGCACCCATCAGGATGAACGCATATCCCGAAGTCGACTTGCGGTCTGCATGGTCGCCGGCCCAGTATGCATCCGAGTAGCCGCAGAAGTCTATCTTGTCATCAGACTTGAAACAGATGCCGTGCGACTTAGTCCCTTGAAAGTATCGCAAAATGCGCTTGACCGCCATCCGATGCTCGACTTGGGGGTTTTCCACGAAGCACGAAACGTAACTCACAGCAAAGACAATGTCCGGTAGTGTCGCGGTCATCAAGTGCATTAAAGCGCCTACTGCTTCACGAAACGGGGCGTCGATTTTGGTTGTGTTGACGGTCATCGGTTTCCTACCAGTATTAGTAACCGTGACCGGTCCAATCCGAACCGCCTGTTTAGCTTAGTATTTACGACGTAGTTCTTACGGTAATTAACATAGTTGATTAGACGCGTAGGATGATGAGACGCTTCACATGATTTATATGTGCACCACATATGAATCATGTAGTAAGTAGCAAGCCCCGATAATCAATCACTTTCGAATTCTCCTTCTGCCGAGCGAGTCTTTTCTGCTCCGCTCCTCGAGCCTCTTCGCTCCCTCCGGTCTCTTCCGGTCTTCTCGTCACTCCCGTACCATACCTTCGGCAGGTTATGAGCCCAAGCGCAATGTCTTCTGCCGGCCACGCATCCTCCAACGTCCTCATCGATAAGTTCGATGGGGATAACTATTCGACCTGGAGTCGATACATGCGTGGCGTGTTCCTGACAAAGTCAGTGCGGCATGCTGTCAACCGGGAGAGCTCCCCAACCTTCGTGGATCCTCGAGCGCAGGAATACTACGTCAAGACCAACAACATCGCGTTTGGAATGATGTTGCTGCACATGGGTGCGGACTACCACCATGTGGTTGACAACTGCGAGGAAGCGTGGGTTGCGTGGCAAAGCCTGAAGGTGCTGTACGGTGGATCCCAGAAAGCGGGAAGGATCTACCTCAAGCGTCAACTCTTCAGCATGAAGATGTATGAAGGCGCCAACGTCGTGCATCACTGCAACGAGGTCCTGAACATCGCCGCCAAGCTTAGCAGCACTCGGTGCGAAGCTGGAGGACGAGGACGTAGCAATTTGCCTGCTTCTCAGTCTCCCTAAGAGTTTTGAGAACGTTGTTCTCAACCTGGAGATGAGCAGCGCAGAGCTTCGTACCCAAGATGTGGTGAAGGTGCTCACGAATGAGCATACCAAGCGCCAAGGGGAGAAGGTGACAACAACAGCGACAATGGTCAAGACTGAAGATGCAGCCAAGGCCTTCAACACTGAGCGCGAGCCATACAAGTGCACCTTCTGTGGGAAGGTGGGACACACCGTCGATCGCTGTTGGTCCAAGCAGAAGAATGAAAGTCGAGGAGCCCGACGCGGCGGCAATGGTCGTGGACGCGGGACAAAAAATGTCCAGCGGGGACAATATCGTGATGAAGGCAGCGACTACGATCAAGTAGAGTTTGCAGTTTCGCTAGAGTGTGGACTCTCAGCGAAGAAGGACGTGTCCGGAATGTGGGCCGTCGACAGTGATGCAACACACCACATATGTCACGACAAGACCAAGTTTGCAAGACTGAACAAGCGCAACGACGGTGAAATCTTGGTGGCGGATGGCAACAAGTGGCCATCAAGGATGTTGGAACCATCTTTAAAAAGGTGGTTCTGCCCGACGGTGAAGAGCGCGAGATCGAGATCGATAACGTGCTTTACGTACCAAGCATGAGCAAGAATCTACTTTCGGTACCGCAGATCAACAAGCACGGCAAGTTTCTAGTCGGGTTCGACGGGACCAAGATGTTTTTCGCTCGCAAAGGATCGCAACAAGTGGTGGCAACAGCAGATCTTGTGGATGGCCTTTACTGGCTTCACACAGCTCATCGATCGGCCAATGCGACAACAAACGGAAGCAACGGTGTCGACTTACATGCGCGGATGGGACACGCTCCAGCTGATGTGCTTCTCAAAATGGTGGCCACGAACATGATCAAGGATGTGAAGGTACCTCTCACGTCAAGTGGATCAAGAGCATGCCGAGGATGTCAACAAGGGAAAATGGTCCAAAATCCATTCCCACGCAACCAGGACAAGCGCAGATACGACACCTTCGAGCTACTTCACGTCGACATCTGCGGACCCATGGAGATGAATTCTCTGGGTGGCAGAAAGTATCTACTGCTGATCGTTGACGAAGCCAGTGGATGCATGAAGGGCTTCTGTCTACGTGTGAAGTCGGAGAGTGAAAACTACATCACACGATACAATAAGATGGTGCAAGCGCAGTTTGTCAAGAAGGTCAAGCTCGTCCAACACGACGGAGCCCGCGAGTTCGCAACGAACTCGCTTCAAGATTTCTACGAGGATGAAGGCATTGAACAGCAGACGACGGTGCCGTATGCACACCAGAACAACGGAACAGCAATCGCGCCATCGGGACTATCGTCACGATCGGCCGCAGCATGCTTCACCATGCCAAGTTGGACAAGTGCTTCTGGGCTGAATTAGCAATGACGGTCATCTACGTCAAGAACCGTCTGCCGTCGCCTAAGTTATGCACAAGACCCCGTTTGAGATCGTGTACAACTCCAAGCGAAGTTTCAAGCACATGCGAGTATTCGGTTGTCAGGTTTACATACTGACACCGAAGGAGAAGCGGCTCAAGTGGGACCCCAAGGCTCGCACTAGGATATTCTTGGGCTACGAAGAAGCATCCAAATCGTATCGCGTTTATGACATCGAGGCAGGGCAGGTGGTCATCAGTCGCGATGTCAACTTTGACGAGTCCGCCTTTGGACTTTCGCCACCAACCACCGCTGAAGACGCCGATGACATTGACTTCGACTCCCTCGATCTGGATGATGAAGCGCCAGGTCAAGCGCAGTACAAGCAAACAGGCAACCGCAAGGGTCGTCCCCACGATGAAGGAGTACCAGCTCCGCCCACGCGCACAGTGCTTAAACGGCCTGGACTAGAAGAATCAAGTGCGCCAGACTCTCTACATACGGATTGTGGAAGGGCAATGCGTGCTGCTGCTGGTGTATGTGGATGACGTGTTGATCACCGGTATCTCATGCGAGCTAATTGCACGCACCAAGACCGACCTGAAGACACGATTCGAGATGACTGACAGCGGCAAGTGTGCATTTGTGCTTGGAATAGAGCTTTTGGACGGCGCAGATGAAAGTGTGACACTATGTCAGCGTCGGTATGTAGATGACATACTCAAGCGCTTTGGCATGGATGATTGCAAAGCCGTCGCAAGTCCAGTCGACATGAGCTCTCGACTTGTTTCAGGTGATGCAGCCACCAAGGTCGATGCTCCTTTTCGCGAAGCTGTTGGTGCGTTGATGCACCTGACCACTGCAACGCGCCCGGATATTGCGTTCGCCATGGGCTATGTGTCGCGATTCATGGAGAACCCCCAAGAAGAACACTGGGTTGCGGTCAAGCGTGGGTTCCGCTACCTACAAGGCACCAAGATGCACGGAATCTGCTACAAGCCAAATGCGAAGATCGGTTTTTGTGGCTACTCGGATGCAGACTGGGCCGGTGACCTCGCTGATCGCAAGTCGACGTCTGGTTACGTATTCATGCTGTAGGGTGCGCCAGTGAGTTGAGGCAGCAAGAAACAGCCAAGTGTTCCGTTGTCCACGAGTGAAGCCGAATACATCGCAATCAGCTTGGCGATTCAAGAGGCAAGTGGATTCATCGTGTCTGCTTTGTGAGATGATGATGGCTGCCAATGAAGAAGGACCGGAACTCATGATCCATGAAGACAATCAGTCGTGTATCAAGATGACGAAGAACCCGGTCAACCACGGCCGTGCCAAGCACATTGACATAAAGTATCATCACATCCGTGATGATGTCAAGCGCGGTGAAGTGAAGCTCAAGTACTGTGAAACTTCGGTGATGTTAGCGGACATCATGACGAAGGGACTTCACGGGCCACGCCACAAGGAGATGACGGCGACTCTCGGGATTTGAGCGTGTTCGCATTGAGGGGGCGTGTTGACGGTCATCGGTTTCCAACCAGTATTAGTAACCGTGACCGGTCCAATCCGAACCGCCTGTTCAGCTTCGTATTTACGATGTAGTTTTACGGTAATTACCATAGTTGATTAGACGCGTAGGATGATGAGACGCTTCACATGATTTCTATGTGCACCACATATAAATCAAGTAGTAAGTAGCAAGCCCCGATAATCAATCAGTTTCGAATTCTCCTTCTGCCGAGCAAGTCTTCTCTGCTCCGCTTCTCGAGCCTCTTCGCTCCCTCCGGTCTCTTCCGGTCTTCTCGTCACTCCCGTGTCATACCTTCAACAACTAGTAAGGGCGAAGTCAGGGAATGACGTCATTGGATGACGTCAGCGGAATGACATCATTGCATGACGTCAGTGGATGACGTCACTGCGAATAATAGGCTTAGAGGTAGTATTCAAAGTTGCGAACTTAGTGCCTATTGTATATACATATTCACTTTGCGTTTTGCACTCGGACCAAGAAGTCTAAAGTTCTTCAAGGTTTACGGTTTCCACGGTAGCTGATAATAGTACCTTAACCGTCAACCCACAACAGTAATGATCACCTAAGCTGCGTCTTAAGTATGCATCATGATAGTTTC